CTGCAATGATCCTTGAATGCACGGAGGGGCAGGGGAAGGTGAAACTTATCCTAAGAGGTTCATCTTTCCAACAGTGTTCATTCTTGGGGACCTGAGATCACTAACCAGCCCATCTCTCTGCCTCTCTTCTTGGCTCCAGAAAAACACATACAAATAAATGATTTGCAAGATGACATTTTCAGAAGGTTTAGTAAAGGGAGAAAAAATAGAATCATTGGGAAAAAATAGACACATAGTCATTTGATCTTTCTGTTTGTTTTTTTTTATTATTTTTAAATCATTTTTTATTTTGATATCTCTCTCTCCCCCCACCCTTCTCTTCCTCTCTCTATTTCAGCGTATACACGCACCCCCCCCCCAACACACACACACGCGCGCACACACACACACACACACACACACACACGGTGTCAGGAACACATCAGAAAGCTGATCCTCAGATCCTTTCTCTGCTGGAGGACAGAACTTGATACACACCGAACCAGATTATGAAGGAAATTAACTGCTGAAACCAGATGGACATATTTTTTCCTGGAAATGTGGTTCTTCAAGGCTTTCCTCTACCTCCCAAGTGCCTTGGGAATGGGAAATACAGGGTGTCCCCAGAAAATGTATACACATTTTAACAGCTGGTAGCTCAATTTTGAAAATGACAGGTAAACACTGCCTTTATAATTATTCAAAATGTGTGTATACATTTGGGGGGGGACACCCTACATGTTGAAAAAATAAAGCCTGCACCAGGCTCAAGGCATTCGCAGCCATCCAGGGCCTGCTGGGTGTTTGGGGACGCTGGTCCTCTGCTAACAGCCTGCAGGGCGGTGACATGCCCCCATGAGCACGGTACTAAGTGTGGCTTCGTGTTCTTCAGCATTCACTTCCACGTTGCAAAATGGCTTATCAAAGACGTGGTGAAGGACCTGCCTGTGGGGGCGGGGGGGGGGGACGGGACGCGTTGCGGTCAAGGGCACAGTTTGAGTCTGGAGCTTCAGCTTCTGTTGGGCTTCTGCCCCTTTCTCCTCTGGATTCTCTGAAATCCTAGCTTGTCAACTCTGTCCCTCTCATCTCCGAGGTCTGGAGGCCAGCTGTTCATCCAAAGGTGCAAAGTTAAACCTTGAACTCAAGCCCCATGTTTACAGAGGAATATGTAACTATAGGCCAAAGAAGGATCAGAAAGAAATACGCAGTCCTTTTTAAAATTCAAATATCTTCTCACCTTGTGTTATCTCATCATCCTGTAGACTAGAGAGCTATAAGTCCTGCCTCCTAAATACCAATGATTCCATAGGACTACCTGTGTGTTACTGAGAGCTTTTCAAATGATTTATGTTAATGTAAGAAATATTCACACTTGTAAAAAAATAATTTGTGAGTTTATTTGAGCCAAACTGTCAACAATTGCTGGGAAGCAGAATCTCAATGAATTAAGATAATGTTCCAGAGAATGGCGGTTTTTCACCTTGTTTTATACATTGCAGTCAAAAGAGGAGATGTAAGTGGGTTACATGAACTCCATTAGTGATAGATTAGGGAGGTGGGAGAAAGCAAAGCAGGGAAACCTCTGGGATTGGATAAAAAATAAAGTGATACACATATACTTCTTTTACTTAGGTGGGTACAGGATAGTTAACAGTCAACAATTAACTCAGTAACAATGAGGATTTGTGATCTCCGCAGAGCAGTGCCTGTGCTTTGAGGGGCTCCAGAAAAAAAAGGAAAATTACTTTGACATTCTACCGATATGTTATCATAGATACACAAAGACAGTAGGCTCAGTTAAGTAAAGATTCACCTTTGTCAGGGAAGATATCGGCCTAGGACATGACTACCACCATAAACCGCTTTTTCATTTAAAAAGTTTTCATTTCAGACCATCCTTTGTGGTTACTTTAGGTCTTTGAGTTTGCAAGGCCACCGCACAGGCTTTCCCTGAGTTAGTCAGGTTACAGGGGTGGGCAAACTTTTTGACTCGAGGGCCACAATGGGTTCTTAAACTGGACCGGAGGGCCGGAACAAAAGCATGGATGGAGTGTTTGTGTGAACTAATATAAATTCAAAGTAAACATCATTACATAAAAGGGTACGGTCTCTTTTTTTTTTAGTTTTATTCATTTCAAACTGGCTGGATCCGGCCCGCGGGCCGTAGTTTGCCCATGGCTGGGTTAGCATGTGGCCCCTTTTCGTCAACACTTAAAATAAACACCTTAAAGTTTGTTCGCCTTTTTACACAGGCATTTGTTGGTGTAGAGCTCAACACATTATTTTTTACTCTCTGCCTCCCTCTGCTGCTGAGATAAGAACAAACCAAATAGAAGCTTCCTTTCCCTCCTTTTTTTTTTTTATTGTTTCTCTTTGCCTTACCTTTATCAAATGCAGCCCCCAAGGGAAGCTCTTGAGAATTCAATGGCCCTCACTTAATCCTAATGACTCCATCTCAAGTGAGATGCCTTAAAAAGCCCCCTGCAGTGCTTGGCACCAGGACCAGACCGGAGGTGGACAGGCAAGAATTTATCACCCCTTTAAAAAAAACATTTTTGAATAATTTATTCAATGTGTATTTGGTAGAGGTGGGGAAACTGGTTTTCTATTACTGAAAACCATGAACCTTTATATGAGCTGTCTAGTTAGTCCCTTCTCCAATAACAAAACTCTCACAAGAGTAAGATAGAGTTTAGAGATGACTGCGCAGAGAGCTAAGTGGGAGCTGTAGGGCAAATGAAAGTTACTACAGCTCAGAGCATTTCTTCAAACATCGCACCAGGGGTGGGCAAACTTTTTGACTCGAGGGCCACGATGGGTTCTTAAACTGGACCGGAGGGCCGGAACAAAAGCATGGATGGAGTGTTTGTGTGAACTAATATAAATTCAAAGTAAACATCATTACATAAAAGGGTACGGTCTTTTTTTTTTTTTAGTTTTATTCATTTCAAACGGGCCGGATCCGGCCCGCGGGCCGTAGTTTGCCCATGGCTGCACTAGACCATCTCTTCTCCAGGCATCAAGAGCAGGCCTGTCAGCTGCTGGGTCTCCCCTCTTTCCTCTCAATGCACCCTATTTTCGTGGTCCCTTCCCACTCTCTTCCTAGATCTCTCTCTCTCTCTCTCTCTCTCTCTCTCTCTCTCTCTCTCTCTCTCATTTATTGCTGTCCTAACCACATACTCCAAGCTTACATGTCCTCTCCCATTACTAAATCCCATCTTTGAGAGTATTAAGTACCCATCATACCGAGGGTGAGATTTTAGCTTTCCTCACAAACATAAATGTCTTTCAGTTACCAAGATTCTTCCTTCCTACAAGGTGGTTTCTTGTCACAACTTCAAATAAGAGACTTATTCAACGCGCTGACTGGGAGCAGGACCAATTTGCATTCCTTAGGCTGGAAACGTAAGAACTTGCATGTGGAAACCTGAGTTAACTGGTCCCCTATTTCCAATTATTCTAATGACATTGGGTGTTGCTTGTAAATTAGTACCCACCCCGGCAAATGTTTAAACAAGGGGTTTTCCGACTAGTCTTTCCCTGTACTGGGTTTGTATTCCCATCTTTGCCTATTGCCTCTATGGAAACTTAATAGAGAGACTACTCCGATCATTATGGGGAGAAAAGAGCAGTTCCATCATCTTTTTCACAATAGACAGCCAGTCGCAGGCAATTGCTCAGTGGAAGGGGAAGGCTGAAGAATTAACTAAGGGAAGGAAAATAGATCGTCTCCATTAAGAGGCCCGAGGAAAATTTGCTGGGCTTGTGATATCTTGGCAGAACCTCATTAACGGCTTCAAACGGAAAAATGATAAAACATCTAGTCATTGCTTGTCCGTGCTCTTCAGCGTGGAGTCTGTCTCCACAGGGAAAATAGCACAGTGGAACTGGAGTACAACAATACTGTTATTTAGCACCTGCCGCATGCCAGGTACTCTGCTGGGTTCTTTGTTTGTACCTCAGCCCACCCGACAACTTCATTTGATGTGTTATTCCCGTTTTACAGACATTTTAAAAGGTTAGCTTTCCCAAGGCCTCGTAACTGTTCAGAAGTGGCATCGTATTCAACCTACAGGTCTGCAAAGTTTGTTTCTGCAGAGGTTTAGGGAAACACCACAACATCAGATGTGCAGCTGGGGATTCAGTAGAACTAGAAACAAAACCAGTGTCCAGTTTCTGTTCCATATTGCAGCTGGGTCTGGTTTAGCATTAAACTAGTTGCAACCCATTAGTCCATTGTGTGTGGGAAAATGCAGGCACGTGAGCGCCCCACAGACCAGGAGTCAAGCGCCAGCAAGAAAGTAAGAGGCAAGAGAGCGAATTCCTTTAGGGGATTATATACCTCAGATCTTCTCACACTTGCAGTGGCCACACCTACTCTGGCCAATGACCTGTTCCCAGGTGTGACCAACAGACAGGTACCTTCCCTATGTCACCCAGACTTTCTGGGGAGTGTTAAACTGAGGCTTACTGGCAAACCTGCAAAATGGCATGCCTACACTATTTGGCGTTCCCTTTGCTTCTTTCCAGTTATTCATAACTAGGTTAAGTTACCACGGTATCAGTTGGAGCCTCGTCCTGTGCACAAAGAGGTGGTGGGTTCAATTCTCAGTCAGAGGGCACATACCCAGGTTGAAGGTTTAATCTCTGGCTGGGGCACATGTAGGAGGCAGCTGATTGAAGTTTCTCTCTTGCATTGATGTTTTGCTCTCTCTCTCTCTCTCTCTCTCTCTCTCCCAGTCTCTCTCTGAAATCAATTTAAAAAAAAAATTTTAAATAAAAGGAAAGAAGGGTCTGAAAGAGCCATCTTCAATAATTAACATTATTGAAAACTACTAAAGTTTCTGTCATATACTTTATAAACATCACTAATGCTTAAAACATATTAATGTAGGCATTATCTCCAGGTCATAGAAAAAGAAATAGGTCTGGGCAGGTTAAATGGCATATTGGGTTATATATTAGATGACATCGCCAGTAAATGGCAGAGTCAGGTTTGGAACTGGAGACTGTAGCACCAACTCTCTGTTTTTGTATCGTGCACGCTGCCAAGATCGTATGGCAAGAAAGTGACAGGTTGTGATCACAGCCTAGGATCTCAACATCTAATTCAGTATTCTGTCCTTTATGATGGGAAACTCTATATAAGCTAAAAAAGGATTGATATACTTTCAGACACACATATACACAAACAGTTTTAAACACCCTTTAGTATAAATAAATCATCATTTCATTCAAAGGACCGATGTACTTTTAAACTTCATGGTTATTTATTGAAAATACCGTTTTTATTTTAATACAGCCTAAACTGTGAGCACATGCGCTCTCATTAGAAGAATGGAGTACTGTTCAGAATTTCAGACTCTATGGGAGAAGTTGAATAAAGACCGCATCCTGGTAAAGAGAGTCATTAACATTTTGGTTTTGGTTTTAAAGTACAGAGGGGGCTTGCAGTCAGCTTGGGTGTTACTGTCCAGCTCAGCTCCCCGGGAGTGGATTTATTATAGGGAAATGCTGGCAGTCATTTTAGACTTGCAAAATGACTACCAATCCCAGTTCAGGCTAAATTCATTCTAAATTCGTTCTGCTGATGTAGACGTTTGCAGAGCAAGGGGGGACGGGTTAAGCTGCCCTTATTAAATTCATGCCATGCTCCGCACCCCAAGCGGACGGAGTGTTCCTCCCTGGCTTTGCCTTTGGGCTGAACACACTGCTAAGGTTGGAGAAAGCCTTCCCCCAAGGTCTAAGGGCCCCCTTTTTGAAGCACTGGTTCACTTGGCATTTTCCCTCGGATGCTTCAAAATGCTGGCCCTTCAAGCCAATGGCATGTCAAGCCTGCTGTGAGTGACCCTGACCAGTGGTCTCCAAGGCCCATTCGCACCGTGGGACTGCAGCTCTCAGATGTCCTCCACTCCCGCCCCCACTAAACTCTGCAAACGAAGGGAAGATGACTTATCAAGTGACTTTGCACAATCACATTAGCTGCTTTTTATATTCTTGTAGAAGAGGAAAAACATTGGCCTTCCCTTTTTCTTTCTGGTGGTGAGTCTAACTCCTCCAGCCTAGAAAAGAGTGCCGCCGAGCGTGTTTTTATGCAAGGCTGGGAATGAGCCAAATGGCTTTGGTGCTGCCTCCGATCCTCCGCAGAGGCCCCGCTGAGCCAAGTCCTAGAGGGGCCTGCAGGATACGAACATGCTTCTCAGCAGGATCTGTGGCTCCGGGAACTGGTGGTGTTGAGGATGCTGGAGACCTCAGCTCACGGGGCAGAGAATGTGGGGTCCTTGTGACTTCTGAGATGAACATTTGTCATTAACTTCTGTCATTAACATTTTGGTTTTGGTTTTAAAGTACAGAGGGGGCTTGCAGTCAGCTTGGGTGTTACTGTCCAGCTCAGCTCCCCGGGAGTGGATTTATTATAGGGAAATGCTGGCAGTCATTTTAGACTTGCAAAATGACTACCAATCCCAGTTCAGGCTAAATTCATTCTAAATTCGTTCTGCTGATGTAGACGTTTGCAGAGCAAGGGGGGACGGGTTAAGCTGCCCTTATTAAATTCATGCCATGCTCCGCACCCCAAGCGGACGGAGTGTTCCTCCCTGGCTTTGCCTTTGGGCTGAACACACTGCTAAGGTTGGAGAAAGCCTTCCCCCAAGGTCTAAGGGCCCCCTTTTTGAAGCACTGGTTCACTTGGCATTTTCCCTCGGATGCTTCAAAATACTGGCCCTTCAAGCCAATGGCATGTCAAGCTGCTGTGAGTGACCCTGACCAGTGGTCTCCAAGGCCCATTCGCACCGTGGGACTGCAGCTCTCAGATGTCCTCCACTCCCGCCCCCACTAAACTCTGCAAACGAAGGGAAGATGACTTATCAAGTGACTTTGCACAATCACATTAGCTGCTTTTTATATTCTTGTAGAAGAGGAAAAACATTGGCCTTCCCTTTTTCTTTCTGGTGGTGAGTCTAACTCCTCCAGCCTAGAAAAGAGTGCCGCCGAGCGTGTTTTTATGCAAGGCTGGGAATGAGCCAAATGGCTTTGGTGCTGCCTCCGATCCTCCGCAGAGGCCCCGCTGAGCCAAGTCCTAGAGGGGCCTGCTTCTCAGCGGGATCTGTGGCTCCGGGAACTGGTGGTGTTGAGGATGCTGGAGACCTCAGCTCACGGGGCAGAGAATGTGGGGTCCTTGTGACTTCTGAGATGAACATTTGTCATTAACTTCTGTCATTAACATTTTGGTTTTGGTTTTAAAGTGCAGAGGAGGCTCGAAGTCAGCTTGGGTGTTATTGTCCAGCTCAGCTCCCGGAGAATCCAGATTTATTACAGGGAAATGCTGGCAGATGTTTAGACTTGCAAAATGACCACCAATCCCAGTTCAGGTTAAATTCACGTGACTTCTGGGATTCTGCACTGGCCCTCCTGATGCTGCCATTTCCAAGGTGACCTGTGCATGTCAGCGTGCTCAGGGCCCCGCCTACCTGAGCCTCGTGAGAGCCTAGATGTGCCCTAAGGCGCCTTCCAACACCATTATTCTGATCTACATGAAATGCTCAGCGAGTGGGAAGTGTTGATCGGGGTTAATATTGAGTAATGTTCTATAGAGCTTGAGCATGTCATACATTTATTTTTCAGTTTTTGAAATGACTCACTTTTATGACATGTGAACAAGACTTTTTTATTCACTGCAGCACCGAAGGCACACAAACACAAGGAGGAGGATGGAATGATCTTAAGGTCTGTTCTGCAGCACCTTGGCATCAGGAGGCGGGGTGTACCGTGAAGAGGAGCTAACTAGGGCAGGGCAGAGAGGAGCATTCCCAGGAGAGCCTTCACCGTGCTCAGATTACAGCTCCCAGTACGGAGAAATGTCCTGAGGTTACACAGGTAAAGAGGTGACCGGTGAAGTGCTCGGCCCTCTTGAGTTTTAACACCAAAGCTTGAAATCTGAGGCTGATCCATCACCACTGACGTGCAGCCCAGAGTCTGACCTGGGCCAACCGATGCCTCCAAGTTTTCAGTTCTCAGGTTTCTGGTCCATGGGCCTCTGGGCCTAACTGTCCAGTCAGCTAACAGGCTCCCAGTTGGAGAGACACACCTCCAGGCTCGGAGACACTGAGAGATGTCAGCTCCTCCCTGCGTTGAGGGTGCAGCTCCAACTGGGTGCCAGCTCCAAGGGCTGACTGTGCACCCATGAGGCTCAGCTGACCCACTGGGGGCTGTCTTGGAGCTGTGTGCTGTGCACCAACTCTGTGTTCTGGTGCCCAGCCCGGGACTGCTCTAGGCCTAGACCTGGGCTCTGCTGTGTCTACAAGAGAAAGCAAGACATTGTCCTAGACCAGTGGTTCTCAACCTGTGGGTTGCGACCCCTTTGGCGGTCGAACGACCCTTTCACAGGGGTCGCCTAAAACCATCCTGCATATCAGATATTTACATTACGAGTCATAACAGTAGCAACATTGCAGTTATGAAGTAGCAATGAAAATAATTTTATGGTTGGGTCACAACATGAGGAACTGTATTTAAAGGGCCAGAAGGTTGAGAACCACTGTCCTCGACAGAGCTGGACTGTCAGCATGGTTGCGGGGAAGGCACTCATCTTCACTCTGGGTTGGAGTCCTATCTCCAGAAGTAACACCTGAGTAACCTTATCTCTCTGAGCCTCAGTTTCCTCTTCAGTGAAACGTAAACTATTCTATGAAAATCGAGTGCCTGCTCCTACACAGGTGCCGGCTCCTACACAGGTGCTTGTCCCCATTGATTCCACTGTATCTTCAATACCGATACAGTGGAATCAATGGGGACAAGACAAACAGGACCCTGCCCTCGTGGAAACAAACCCCTCAGGATCTTAGGAGGATTCCATGAGATTATGTAAAATGCTTGGCATCTTGTCTGACCCTGGTGGTTGCATGTTAGCTCTAATGAGTTTTCCTCCAAAGTTGGTAGAAAATCTTTTAAAACATGCCCTTCCCCACCCCAGTCTTTGCCCATGAATTTCTCTCTGTCTGGAAGACTCTTCCTTGCTCCCTTTGCTTAGCTAACTCCTGTTCATTGAGTTCCTAGGTTAAAGGTCGCTTCCTCAGCATAGCACCTCCCTGAAAGGTCCATATTTAGGTTCCTCCGTTGTGCGTTCTCGTGGCAACCAGCACTCTACTTCGCATTCTCCATCACTTTGGTAATTACTGCTTGGTTAACGTCTGTGTTCCTGAGTAGACTGTGAACCTGGTGCAGACAGCATCCACGTCTACCTGATGTCTCGGCGCCTGGCTTTGAGGTTCTCCCGAAATATTTGACCATCCAACTGGCTGACATGTGAAGGGGATATTACCGTCTGAATGAGAAAAGATCATTGGACCAGAAAAAAGAGAATCAGGCCCAGCAGGAGCACAGGGCCCTTTATTTCCTTCCTCTTTTCCCTCTCATGAAAAGGAGGAACGGCCAAGAGATGACTGAAGAAACAGGCCATGCCCCGGGCAGCCCCACATCTCCCTGGAGGCAGGCAGGTCGCCGAGTCAGGGTAGCAGGGATGGCAGGCTGTTCCCCACTGACAACAAGCATTTACCCGTCACCACTCAGGGCACTGCTGAGAGCAGGGCAGGAAGAGTCTTTTGGAGAACACATGCCACAGTCACACCCTTGTCTCTTCTCCCGTAGCCAGGGAGCAGGACTAAAAGGAAAAGGTGTTGTTCTTGTAACTGCACAGAGAAGAAGCTCGAAAAGATTAAATCCAATGCCACATAACTGGAATAATGTCAGCAGCAGAAATGTCACCATGTTGACTTCTCACTCTATCGCCTGGTATAAAAGATGTCCCTGCCTCTAGGTGCCTCGTACCTTGAGAAAGAAACCTTGGCGCAAACAGTCATTTACATGTGACTCACTGGGAATGTTAAACGTTCTTGCTCTTTTGTCCCTGTGGGACTTAACAAAGCAACAATAGGGCCTGACCCCAGTGGTTTTCTATTGGCCAGAATCCAATCCTCTGGGCAGGACTGGACTTCCACGTGCATTCCTGCAGGCCCACCATACGGAACTGGCCGGCAGCCTCTGCCCGCCTTTCCAAACTGCCACGCCTCTACCCAGAAGTCCTGATCTCAGAAGTCCTTCCTTCCACATAAATATAGATCTATGTATCTATCTATATCTATCTATCATCTACCTATCAAACCTCTCTTTATTCTTTAAGACTAAGATGAGATATTTGTCTCTAACACCTTCTCTGACCATCTACCTTCTCCCAAGTAGGAGTTGGGTGCTTTCATTCCAGCCCTTACAATAATGTGATGAGGTTATTTATAAATTTCCTCCTCACTAAATTGATGACAGAAACCATATCTTCATCTCTTTAATCCCCTTCAACTGGCATAGTGCCCAGCACATTGTAGGGCAGAACCAATGAAAAGCAGGAAGCCAGGCATTGACAAACGGTGCCCTGGGACAGGGGGTCAGTCAGAATGCCTAAGGTCCAGTGCATGTGCCAGGAACTACTAGTGGGTACCTTTGTGGGCAAACTGTTAAAACAGTGAGAAGTCGTTAGCGGCTTGTGCACAAGGAAACAGCATGAGGAAGTAGGATTTTGGGTACCTTATCTGAGGGTTTAATGGATATGATGAGATTAAAGGATGAAAATCTTGTGCCCATTCTACAAATGAGAAAACTGAAGCATTTGGTAATGTCTTACCAAAACGCACAAAGCTAATAAGCAAAGAAAGCTGGTTTAGAATCCAGATCAGATCTCAGAGAGTGTGTTCTTAGATACTGTGAAAAACTCATCCAAATTTGCAAACACTGCTTAGAACTAGGGTCCTTTATGTCTTCAGGAATGCTCTCCCCGCTGGGCTGAGTTCCTCCAGAATGTCACTACCCTTCCTGGGCCCACCTCAGTTTCCTCCTCAATAAAATGAACAGTGAGCCAGGTAGCTGCAAGGCCAGTGTTAGGCTCTGCAGTGCTATGATTCTCTGTAGAATACAAACGGACTTCCTGACCCGGAAATCAGCTCAGTCAAAACATACATTGCACTTGTGCATTGACCCTAAGAACTTTTTCGCAGGTTGTAATCATGACTCCAAAACACAAGGAAGGCTTTGAAATACTCTCTTAGAGTTCTAAGCCTTCTTCCCATATGGGCATCCTATCTAATAAAGAGGGAATATGCTAATTGACCCTCACACCATCACAAAGATGGCAGCACCCACAGCCAATAAGGAGGGAATATGCTAATTGACTGTCCCACCCTCAAAGATGGTGGCACCCACAACCACAAGATGGCGGCACCCAGTCCCCTCAGCCCGCGGGGCGGCAGGTGCACAGCAAGGCCGGGCTCACCCCCAGGCGGTCACGGCCACTCTGTGTGCCTGCCTCCGGAGTCCCCCAGTCCCCTCAGCCCCCTAGCCGCCCAGGGCCAGCCTGAGGCATAGGCAAGCATCAGATGTCGGCTGCCCAGTTGCCCAGGGCCTCCCAAGGCTCTGGTAACAAGGGCCAGCTGAGGCTTGCACTGCCGGCAGTGGCAGCAGCAGAGGTGTGATAGGGCATTGCCTTCCCCTGATTGCCAGGTCGCCTCCTGCCCCTGAGGGCTCCCGGACTGTGAGAAGGGGCAGGTCGAGCTGAGGGCCACCCCCCCTCCAGTACATGAATTTTCATGCACCAGGCCTCTAGTTTAAAGTATGCTCTGTCCCTGAAGTTCAACTGCAGTGCCCACAGAAAGTGTCTTTTATCTGAAGAGTCATGCTCAAGCCACAGCAAAGTTCCCACCCACTCTCCATGGCCCCAGGGCCTTTACTCTGCCTGTAATTCTGTATCGCACCAAAATAAAGGTCAGCATTGCTCTCCCCACACCTGTAGCACCGCTTCATGTCAGTCTCAATCATGCAATTCTCTGACTTCAGGCTGAATTTCAGGGTAGAACGCTCGCCTCTCTGAAAACATCTGTGTGGCTCAGAATGAAGTCTGACATGAAAAGTTCCCACCCAACGGTCACGGCCACTCTGTGTGCCTGCCTCCGGAGTCCCCCAGTCCCCTCAGCCCCCTAGCCGCCCAGGGCCAGCCTGAGGCATAGGCAAGCATCAGATGTTGGCTGCCCAGCTGCCCAGGGCCTCCCGAGGCTCTGGTAACCAGGGCCAGCTGAGGCTTGCACTGCCAGCAGTGGCAGCAGCAGAGGTGTGATAGGGCATTGCCTTCCCCTGATTGCCAGGTCGCCTCCTGCCCCTGAGGGCTCCCGGTCTGTGAGAAGGGGCAGGTTGGGCTGAGGGCCACCCCCCCTCCAGTACATGAATTTTCATGCACCAGGCCTCTAGTTTAAAGTATGCTCTGTCACTGAAGTTCAACTGCAGTGCCCACAGAAAGTGTCTTTTATCTGAAGAGTCATGCTCAAGCCACAGCAAAGTTCCCACCCACTCTCCATGGCCCCAGGGCCTTTACTCTGCCTGTAATTCTGTATCGCACCAAAATAAAGGTCAGCATTGCTCTCCCCACACCTGTAGCACCGCTTCATGTCAGTCTCAATCATGCAATTCTCTGACTTCAGGCTGAATTTCAGGGTAGAACGCTCGCCTCTCTGAAAACATCTGTGTGGCTCAGAATGAAGTCTGACATGAAAAGTTCCCACCCAAACCACCGAGTAACATCCTGTTGTTGTTTTCATCAAATCCATGCAGTAACTGCTCTGATTTGGCTTTGAACTGGAATGATCTGTCGGTTGCCATTTTTCTGAAACATTCAGAACAAGATACAATCTCATTATGGTCAGCTACATAGAGTGGACCTTTCAGAGCATAAAGAAACATCTGTCCTCCATCTGCGTGCCCCGAAAATAGGACTTTCAATGGAGTACATTGTAGGACACTAATGCTTTTAAAGGGCAAGAACTGCATTTCTGGCTAAAATCTCAATAAATATGTGTAACAAAATATTTTCATCTTCCATGCCGCTTTTCTTTTTTTGTTGTTTTAATTTTTCCATCTTCATGTAGCCCCTCTACGTCTTACACGCTGCTTGTAAAAAGAATTTCAAAGGCCATTCGAGCACAGTGTTTAATAAGAACATAATCTCTAGAATTAGCTAGATCCGGTACCAGGACTTGTTCTATCATGTACTCGCTGTGTGATCTTGGAAAGTGACTGAGCCCTGTTAATTTTAGGTTCTCTCAGAGACGTACTAGGGAGAGGAATAGTACCCACCCCAGGAGATAATGAGCTCAAGGAGCCTGGCACATGGTAAAGCACTAAATAAACTTCTATTGCTCTTCCTGTTTTGGGAACGCTGCTGTTAATACTAGAGGCAGCATGGCCTGATTCCTGATGCGGCTGAAAGAACAGGGATTTTAATAAGAAACCCAGAATTTGCACTCCACCCCCTGCCACTTCCTAGCTGTGTGACCTTGGGGAAATCACTGGATCCTTCTCAACTGAGCTTCCTCATCTGGAAAACAGGGAAAATAAAAATAGCTAACTTACCAACAACAAGCCTGAGGGGCTAATGAGGTGACTAGTGTGAGCCTTGCCGCACGCTGTATGCATATATTATGTTGTTATTGTCAGTGTTATGGACAGAATGTTTATCCCCACAAAACACATATGTGGAAACCCTAAACCCCAATGTGATGCTCTCAGGAGCTGGGGCCGGAGAGGTGATTAAGTTTAGATGAGGTCATAAGGGTGGAGTCCCCATGAAATCAGACGGAACCAAGATAATTTAAGGCCTCCAGAACTGTGAGAAATATATGTTTGTTGTTTTAGCCGCCCAGTCTGTGGTATTTTGTTACAGAAGCCCGGACTGATAAAGACAATGACACCATCAAAACAGAATCTATTTTTTTTATTAAGGAATTTTTGTTTACAAAAATCGTATGTGTTCAGTGATCCTAACTGCTTTTCTGTTAGCCATAGAAGTGAGGATTCTGGGGCCCCACTAAGGCAGCACAGGGGTAGAGCATCTGCCTTCCCCAACAAAAAATGAACATCTCTTTGTGCCTGTCTTAGATGGACCTCCATGAGCAACGACAATGTGTCCCGGCCAATGGCCCATATGTCTGAAGAGAAACTGAAACAGAGAAGGATTGTTGACGCTGGTCTCTGCCTACTGGTTATTACTTTTGATGTTTTGTTAGTTTTTCAGATTTTGATGCTGTTGTAATAACCCAGTTATTATTTGACAGGAAAGGAGTGAAAAGGGAGACCAGATA